CCTACAGTACAGAAATCTCTTACAACAGTGAAAATCATAACAGTCCCGTATAACCTATATCCAGCGTATCTGCTGAACCCCCTAAAACAAAAACTACTTTATAACTGAAAAATAATTTGATAATAATTCCATTATAAGGAAGTTTTACTTTATTAATTGTTTATAACTGTTTTCATGCATCGGTCACTCAGTCACTGAATCGCGACCGACATCCACTAGTTTCAAGACACATGTATAATAATAGTAATATATAACAGTCAGGGACGGTCTATGAGTAGGTTTATAATATTATAAAGTCTATTATATACCTACTAAGTACTAACCCTTAGTTGCGTAGCCGCAATGAAGATGTTCATATTATTATCTCCAATATAAGAGATGGATATACCGCGGCTATTTACCACACCCTCGTTTGGAGTATAAATATTCAACGGTATTAAACTGATGGATACGAACCATGAGCTTGAGAACTTAAATAAAAATAAATATTTTTACACCACTAGCGTATAACTTCATAAGATATGGTTTATTATGATTGGTATAGTATTATATCACTGTAATTAAAATAATATATGATAGAAATGAAAACGATAGACATAGGCCGGGGCTATATACGGCGTATTCCACCACGTTTCAACCCCGAGGGTTCCACATCGTTTTCCTCGGCGTATTTAATTCGACGGAATGCGCCGTGTATAGCCATAGACACGGAGATCCGATAACGAGCTTTTAAAGACTTGTGCAACTCGTCGTTTCAGTGCCGAAGATTTGTTTCGAGAAGAGGGGCGAAATAAGGTTGTCAATTGTTTTCCATAATACTATTATTATAAAATAATAATAATTCGTCTAATCGATTTTTACATACCCCACTGCTGTAAATAGTCGCGAGCGTTACGAAACGACATGGTACCGGCCCGAGGCATCATCCCGCCGCAACAATCAATATTGTAATTATTATTATTATTATTATTATAATTATTGATTTACTGCGTCGGATTGAAAAAATAAAAATAATAATAATAATAATAATATTATATCTGACCACCTCCGTGCTGCAGACTGCAGCAGTTGTATTCCCCAATATAATATTATAATACTGTATATTGTTTAAAATATATATCTATATATGAATGTCATTAATCATAATAACGTTCGAGATCGGAATGTGCGCTGCCCGATCGTAATCGTACGCCGAGCGTGTGTGTTTTGATCTTCTACAGGCGAGCGACCGTTTTACCATAAACATTATATTATTATTATTATTATTGTACCCGTACTCTGAGCGTACGACGATGACGGGTCAGACGCGAGTCACGCCGCCCAAAACGAATAATAATAATAGTATTATTACGAGAGTATAATATTGGAATCCACCATGCGCCCGATATTGTGTAGACAGTAGGTAAAGTGTTTTCACACCAATGCCCACAATACGATGCGTATAATAATTATTATAAATATTATACATTTATACATCACGCCGGCCGATGACAAATCGGGGGCGCTCGTTTTGTCGGAAATCTCACTCTCGGTTTATTTTTTTTAGTATTTTAACCGTGACGACCAGCTAGCCCCGTATTGATGTAATTCGATTCTTAAAATAATATGGTGTTTGGGAAAAAGAAAGGATACCACTGTAATCACTATAATAATTATACAATATTATACAGGGTGATTCGCCGAGAATGTCCACACCTATTTTTTGCACTAATAATGAAAATATTATGATTTTGGAATAATTTTTAAATATTATATTTAAATAATTTTTGTGATTTTTTGCCCTACCTATGATAGTACAAGCTACTGTTCTTCAAATCAAAACCCGTCTTTTTACAATTAATTATTAAGTGTTAATAATTATTAATTTTAGTGCATAATTATTTTTAAAAATGTTGATGTACCTAATTCGAAATACGAACGAGTAATTGCTCAGTTATAAAAATGTTTGTCCTCAAGTAAATAGTCCTTAAAACTACAAATTAGACGTAATATTAGATCTAGTGTTTACTATACTTGGACCATTTTTAGAAATGATAAACATCTGATGGATATTAATACAAATTAGGGGGGTGAGAATTTGTTTGGTGAATCACTCTGTATAATATTATACGAGTTAGGCGTACTCGAGGCATCCGTTTCGAAACTCGCGTGCAGCCCGCCCGTAATACAATACATCACGATCCAGTCTTGAGGAGGAGAGTATCCCTGGAGGGTTATTATAGTATATAATAAAAAGACAGAGATAATTCGAGTGCAGTGTTACGCGTTGCCGTAGCTAGTATTATATATTTTATATTATAGATATTTTATTTAAAAAAAAAAACATATTATATATAGACGAGAATTATAGATATTAATTATTATTACATATTATATAGGTAGGTACACGATCTACCTCGATATATATCTGGGCAAATTGTATAATCTCGCACGCGGATGACAATCCAACACTAATTATACCCATATGAACCGGTTTCGTCGTAGGTACCGACCGCCTTCAGTGGTGCATATACATAATAATGTTACCGATATCTATATAATATTATATTATTATACGCGATATTGCAGCGTCGTAACTATATAGGTATATCCATAATAATAATATCATGCACAAATGGCATATTGCTTTATGGTGTTGCGCCGAGGTAGCTTTATATAGGTAACTGCACATACCGTGCGAAATGCCAATAAACCCTTACCCGAGAATTGGTTAGGTTTTATTTTTTCAAACAATAATTATTATAACGTTTAGATTATCGGTATTTGTTATCATTATCGTTATTATGAAAGTGGACCGCAGTACATGTCGATAATAATATATGGATTCTGCGGGACTGCGACAGTGGTTTGAGGGGAAAACAAATATGGCAACAACGCGCAGGCCTTTGCCACACAGTTATTAAGAATCCAATAGAAAGTCAATCAAATTCTAATTTAAAACCTATTTATATATATATTACAAATACGTGTACATTGAATAGCGAATAACTATTGCTATATATGTGAACTGCAAATATTACTAATTGGGAACTCATTAAGATAGAGCAGACTTTTAAGTCAAAATATAGAACTGTATCTGGTTTTCTACAATTTAAATATACAGATACAGATATAGGTATGTATAAAAATATGTAATTGTTTAAAAAAAGAAGAAAATCTAAGTACTCATCTGTCCATGACGTACCTATGATATAAACTGTATTACGATTTACTTATTTATTTAAACATTTTTTATATACATACACAATTTATAATATTTAAATATTATTTTACATTTGATCTCATTTAGCTGCTAATACAATTATTTATATTATGTTTACTAAAATATAAAAATAAAATCTTAAATGTATACTAAAAATAATGTACACCTATTCTACTATATAAATATTATAAACTATCATTAGATGGGTATAAGACAATTATATTCCTGTATATTATATTAAGTATAAACATTAAATAAAGTAATAACTATAATAACATAGGTAACACATATACGTAGAATACGTTTTTAATTATGGATGAAGAAAAATTATAATATGATTAATTAACCCTTTAAAATGATTAGTATTCACATAAATGGTGAATGTTAGTTTTTTAGTGTACTTGTGTTAGACATTTTGTTAGTAGGTATACGAATTGAATACATTTATTGAAAATAAAAGGTTTCCAATCAAAAGTGATGCCTATGGTTTTTATATAATTGACTTATTGACTTATTTAAAATTATAAAAAACAACTTACTAGGTATAATATGTAATAACTACGAGTCATTTCAAAATATAGTTACACTTAAGGAACCTTTAACATATTTTGTTTTTAGTCATTTTGTGAACACATATAATTGAGATCGATATAAAATTAATTATTATGTATGACGCTTTATGCATAAGAATATATATTTGAAATTAATTATGGTTCACACCAACATTAAAGTATAAAATAAAATATGAAAGTAAAAAAATATTTGTAGTATGGTTATATTTGAAAATGTTAATGGTGGACGATATGAATAAAATATTAATGAGCTTCCACAAAATCAATAAAGTTTTATTATAAAATAGTTTACTTACAGCATTATTATAGTTTTGAAAAAAATAAGACATTTTAATGTTTAGTTTTACAACACGAAATATTGAGCCATCGAGTCTCGGTTAAATGATACAAAATTATACAAAACAGTACAATACATTTAATAGATTTGACTACCTTGTTCTCAAGTTTATCGTTTTGATAATAGGATTTTAATATAGATTAATTTCTGCCAACAATGCAAGTATAGCCGAGCACGTTTTGACCCTAAAGCAAGCCACGAGCAGCAGATTTTTTTCATGGTAAATCGACATTTCAAAATTACACAACTAATCATAATTAAAAATTGATCTATGCACATGCACACACAAACACTGAAACACACACACTCATACATGTACATTAAATGATATTACCAGTGTTTGTGTATACGCCGGGCTATTATCTTAATTAAATTCCTCATCGGTATTATAAAATATGTGTTACAAGGTGATCGGTAAGCGCTTTTGAAATTGGCGAATCGTTGAATTTAATAACAGGTCATATATAGTAATATCATCGAAAAAAAAATTACCACTCCTATTTGCAGAAAAGTGTAACGGTTTTTAACGCCATCGATATTATACGCTTATAGCTTAATAAAATTGAATGAGCTTCCGATTATATAATATAAATATAAAATATTGTATTGGGCAAGGACTAATCAATAATCAAGGTGACTCTTGAACGAATAAAACATGTGCAAACATATTATAAAAGTATTGTAAGGTCTCGTAAACGTGTTTTAAACATAATATACAATTATCATATTAACAGAAGGTATTATATATATATAGGTAATAGGTATTATAGGTGTATAGAAATACGTATGTGTGCGAAGTGTGCTATCCGGATAAAAAAAACGTACACGTCGAACCGGAACCGATATCGAACGTCTATAGTGATTTTTTACCATGGCGGGCAGTCGATACTCAATAGTTAAAAGACATTTCGTCCGTGGGCGAAAACGATTCATCCATTTTTTCTAATTTTATCAGGTCGTCTTCGAAGGATACCTTAGAACTAAAAAAGAAAAGAAAACTATATAATATGTATTTCAAACGAACCACGCAGTATATTGTTTTAAGTGTAGGTACGTTATTATTATTCATTATTATTATTATTATACAGGACTCCTTGAATATTTACTCAAGTTTAATAATCGAGGAATTATTATTCACGGCCAGGACGGCTGCGGTGCAGGCTCCTTTTGGCGGTATGGCCTCGTACAGGCTGTTCTCCACGACCACGGTCGCGTTGTCCGCGATTTTGGATCTACATGGCACCGCCTCGGAGTTGATATTTCTGCTAAAAATAAAAAACACCACTCACCGTTTGACAATAGAAAATCGGAATATTATATAATGCCGCTCTGATATATCGTGGCAATATTATGAATAAAAAAAAAATTATTTTATAATCACCCTGGGAATCGCACTCTATTGGACGTCAGGTTGGTTCTGTTGAAAGTAGTAATCCAGTTACTCTGACTCCTGCAAACGTTGTTAAAAAAAAAAAATAATAATAAATAAAAAACTGGTTTAAACTGACGTACAATGATATAATATTACATGTATACGCAATATGCACGCGGTACCTATATGTTTTACTATTATATATATATATATATATATTATAATAATATTATTACGTGGAGCAGACATGCGATAAATGGCCGAGTTATTATATTATGGCCTGTGCGTAGGTATAGGTACTCACATGTTTTCGATATCGTCTTTCAGCGGCGTCGTAGACGGACTCGAAATACACGACAAGTAACGTCCGTTCCTATGGCATATAAAATCATAATATATTATGATGGTCGATAGACAGCGTTCGGTAATAAAATCAACAAAAGGCGGTTTGAACTGTTTTTATATATATATATTGTAACGCGATTCGTATACTATGATTTAAACGTAAGTATATTACGCATAGTAATAATACGTCATATAATATTATTATGCAAAGCTGGGCATTAAAGAATTAAAAAGTTAAAGATAACTTACGAAAGTTATTTTATTTAACTAGACTAGTTACACTCGGGTTTCCATTAACTTAACTACCAATTTAACTCAATTGTTTTTTAATTAACTTGAAATCAATTAATTCGATTTTCATTTTAAGAAATTAAGTTAATTTATTTTGTTTTGAATTATATTTGAATTTAAATTTTAATCGATTTCGTTTTCAAGTCAACCAAATATTTTGGAAAATGTTTGGAGTGAATTGTTTTTTTTTAGTGATGAAAAACTTCAATGAAGTAATTGTACTGTAAAAAAAAAAATAAAACTATATAAACAATGTATAGTTTTGACTTAACTAAGTTATACAAAAATTTCACTAACTTTCAATTTTTTCTTATTAATGTATATTATCCTAACCGAGTTGAAAAAATCATTAACTGGCCCAGCTTTGAATTATTATGTTAATATATCGCATGTGCTCACTTGACGTATCCAAAATATAACAGACCCACAGCTACCATTGAAAGCATCAGGAAAAACATCGCGGCATACACTAAGGACATCAAGGTGCTCGTTTCACTAATGGCACTCATATTGAATAATTGAGTAATGCCCAAAATTTTGACGTTCTGTCCTATATTTCTGAAAAATAATATAATATGTTGTATTATGCTTACCTATATTATAATATCATAATATTATCTATGTGTACAAAAATTAATTTTAAATAAAAAGTTTGAACAATTAATAAAATTATTTTTTAAAAGTAGGGTGCTAATATGACGTTCACCCTTCACAAGCCCCTTTACTTCAATAAATCGTTTGTATACACCATAGAGTAGGTTACTTCTAGTAGGTAGTATTATCAAAAGTGGTTCATACCTACGAGATAGAAAATAATATCTTATTATTCCTGTAATCATTTGTAATCGTAATTCGCAATATTAGACTTTTTGAAGATCCCAAATCCGACTAAACAAATTTTTTGAAAGGGTGCTAATTAAAGTAACGTACCATTGATTTTTTTTTTTAAATTTTATGTCGCATAAATTATTTCCACTGACCTTTCCAATTCCGACGCCGGCACCACCGAACCGTCCGTGTTGTTCACCCCGTACACGGTCAACATTCTCTCGGTGCGCCACTGTCCGTCCATGAACGTGTTGATCACGTCGTTGGTGAGTGACATGACTTTGACGCCCGATATTTCGGACAGCTGCGATTCGACGGCTGCGTGGTCTTCGGTGGTGCTGAAGTGGACGTTCACCCGGACGATGTCCGAGAACGTTAGGAACTTCACCTGAAATAACCCGAACGAATTCCTATTTTAAAATCGTTTTATAATATTTGACTATCATTATATGCACAACGACACCGAGTTACTCTTAAGTTCTGGCGTATTTCACTTTTCTATTTTCGATCCCGACTCTTAAACCCTCCAAACGAAGCGACCACAATACTACCATGTTTTTATGACGTAATTATACGATTTGATAAAATATATAAATCAATCTGGCAGTGATGACGTGGCGAAGGGAGTAGTCGAGAGGGGCTACTCCTGATTTTTTATAAAGTGGTGGTGGGTAAGTTGGTTACAACCAATAGGACGGTGATAATTTAGTATCAACTAGGTACACTAGGTAACTAGGAATAATAACAATTATATAGTAATGACTATGACAGGAATAGTTACAACGTGTTACAGTGAATGCCTTTATTTTGATGTGCGGGGTGGGTAAAACATCAATCTAGCCCCAGAAAAATGTCAAATTCGCCACGTCACTGGATACCGATGCTTACGGTAATGGCCAGCGTGGACTCCATTCCGTCGGATTTGCCGTCGTTGTCCTTGGCCACCACCACGACTATTTGCTCACAGTGCTGTCGTCCACCAGACTTGCACAGTATATTGTTCCTGTCTCCGAGTTAATGATAAAGTCGTTAGCGTCGTTTCCTCTCAGCGAGTATTGTATTTTTCCGTGTTTTCCCGCGTCCTTGTCTATCGCCTGAAAACCAAAACCATCGAAACTGTTTTTAAAAAAAAAAAAATGTTTACACTATATACTTGTCTTATAATAGATATTTTGTAATAATATATTTTATGTCATTCCATTCATCATCGTTATTGCACGTTCATATTGCATTATATTTTCATACCAAACGGCAAGACAACGATAAGTTTTATGATACTATGTAGGTACATTATAATATATGTGTAAGCATTATATTAGTGCATTTTTCACACCTAGTGCGTATTATATATTTATATATATATTATTTCTTAACAATAACAGACATATATTGTAAAAATTCATTTTTACTTTACTTGTATATAATTTAAAGAAAGAATTCTTTTCTTCAGAGTAATTTGAGAAGTTTTGATCAGCAAGACATGTTTACACAATTTGTCTTCTCTGCAGATTATATTTGATAGAAAGTATGTACCATTTATAACGACCAAAAAATATATTATATGAGGAGTATAATGATTAAAAAACTTTTTGGACATTTTTGAACGGAATTCAATAAAAAAGTTTGACAAGAAAGAATAAACCTAGTTATATTATGAAATCTTGAAACCATTATTGGGTTTACAGTTGCCAAACATGAAAGCACAAATAATTCACGATATAGAACAAATATTAATGGAATGGTTAGCATTTCAATGTATAATACAATACAACTATGTACAATGTTATGAAGTATTAACTCAATCACTAAAACCGAAAAAAACTAATTTTTATTAAAAAAACCCTTTGAAAAATAAAAAAACCGCAAACAAGCAAACTAAATATTGGATTCTATTAAAACAAACCCATAAAGACTTGTGAAAGTTATCATAAATACTCACACTCAGTATAATATAGTTACCTAGTTAAAAAAGTTTTTATATCATGATATTTTATGCATTTAATAATGATTTAAATGACAAATATATAATCAAGTTGGAGCATATTTTGTTATAATGGTATACATTCTATCTACATAATGTTCAATAATGAATTTTTGAGAATTGTCTATTTCTTTACTACATACTATAGTTTTAATGTTTAGAATTGTCGTTTATTTTAACCATTAACAAAACACTTTTAATTAAATTAAATTAATAAAATAATATATCTGGGTACGTTAAAAATATGTTGGTATTTACATGTTTATATAATTCGATTTTTCGATTTTTTTTTTTAGAACTTTATCGTTTATCCTGGATTTAGAATATGTACTGTTGAAGTAAGTACAAGTATAAAGTTTCTCATGCTACCTAATTAATTTGTTATAATATATTATAATTTTTAAGCAAGACCAAGTATATTCTAATTAATATTTTAATTTGGTGCTACATAACGCATTTAGGATTTACATTAGTATTATTGTTATATTCTAACAATTAATATGAAATAAAGTAACAATTGAATAGTATTTTTTTATTGGTATTTATATTTTATACTTTATTGAAAATTACAGGGATGAAATTATTAAAAGACGAACGTCGAATATTATGCAAGGTATATCCACTAAATAGCTGGTAAATACTGGTATCCTGCAGTCAAATGATAGATAATATGATATATTAATATTTAATATCATGGATTCATTTTGTATAGATACCAAGCTTTATTTGCAGCGTTATTAGCATGTTATTTCAATATAAATCTCATGACCGTGAATCGGACAAGCCGATAAATATACGTTATACATATACACACTTAATACATATAATTACGCATACAATTCAATACACTGCACTAGTGGTAACCTCCTATTGTGTTAACTGTAGTACAATGTGCAACACAATAGGTATAAGTACCAAAAGATCAGTTTTTGAACTGATTATAATCGAAATGTAATATGTTATTGCGTGGGGTTTTCGGTAGTACACCGTTAATTGAAATATTAAAGGTTTAACGATTTCAAGAATCGTAGGATTATATTACTAATATGAATTATTAATATATTACATTAAGTATGACATTCAAATTTATCTGTAGTATAGGTTAGACATAGAGACAGTGTAATTTAATTATATATGTAGGTGCATTAAGATGATTACTTACAGTAGGAGCTATATTTTTAATTTTTTTTTTTTTTATATACTTATAACCAATATTTGATTTTTAGAAAAGACTAAATAAAATAAAAGGTTTTTCTGCAAAATGTGACTACGGAAAATATAAGACATGGATGATGCTATTCATAAAAATTAAACCATAAAAGTAAAAAATATATCATACATTTTTGTACAGTTACAACTTTAAGTTAATATTTCATTTTTTTTTTATTCTACTTCCAAGTTCTGAACACAAGAAACATACCCTTTTTAAGTACTTGCAGCCTTCTTGAATACAAACAAGACGAGTTGTTTAATGAAGTAAGATATAGCTGCCTGCTGCACGTATAATTTTTTTTCTTGTTTTTGTTTTTCTGTTATACGCAGAATTACAGAAATGGAAAACTTAAATCTTCATGCATTCCGCAGTATTTACTATGCTTTTAAAACATTAAGTCAACAATTGTAACAGTTGTGGCCTTGTGAGAAATATTATACCTACTCGATAAGTACTGTGAAAATCAATAAATGTGCAAATACGGAATATGTAATGAAAAATAGCGTTCGTGATATTACGAATTCGTAGTAACCTATAGGTACATTACGGTGTTCTACAAAACACTTAACTGAAATAAAATATGCGAATATTAAGATAAAATGTAATGCCATAAATCAATAAGTCGAGTACATCAATCTCTGTGGCAGCTATAAATATTTGTAGTTTAATGTTAAAAATAATATTGAATTAGCAATGAAACGAACTGACTGCTATAATGGAATGAGTAAATGAGTTGATAATATGATAAAACCTATCGATTATGAGCACTTTCAAAACATTATTTCATTATTCGTTTTCATTATGGATCAGTGTTATTAGCCGTTCAATATTGGAATTTGGATAAAATGTTAAGTATTTCAATTTCTTTTTAAACCAAAGAATAATTCGACGTGTTTACGAAAGTATATTAAGTACCTAGTATATTGTATTGTTTCAGTCTTCAGATATAATATATTGTGACTATTTTAACGTAAGACATCATATGTCCATTAACCCGAAACCCAAAACCATTTAACATTTTAAGTTCTTACAAAATTATTTTACACTTTTTTTTTATAGTAAAAATTTAATAAGTTACATCAGTCATTTTTTTCTTGTTAAATAACGACATGAATTTTTTATTTCATATTCTATAGTAGCATTTTTTCCCCAGTTCTTCGTTACATAAACATCGCATTTTGAACAAGAAGTAAGAAAAAGTTATTCAGTACCTACTATTATAAGTATTTAATGTTCAAATGAGTCGTGGAGTACCAAAACAAATCACCTTTTAAATAATATATAATATAATATAGGGTTTCCTAAATGCTGTGAGACATAAATGTCCTGAATTGCATAAGAACTGCCATTGTCCCTACCATTCTTGTCACACGGAATTTGGAAGATCCTATACATTATTGTACACATACTTAGGTGAAACGTAAAAAAAGAAATCAATATTATTGTTTACGATTGTCTTGCCGCCCATGTTTAAACACTTGTCTGAACGCGGAGTAGGTAGTAAATAACACTAAACCATAGACTATAGAGTAATAATATAATATATCGGTCGTAATAATATTATCATTACAATATGGATACATGGGTGCAATCTATACAACACACATTATAAAATATGTGTGCGATCGTACAACTACCTATACATACTATAATATCAGAGGTTCGGTGTTAATTTATTGTTGTATAATATCTATATAATACACGTCGTGTGTAAATCAATAAACACTGTTTGTCACTGTCAAAGGTCAAAAAGAAGAGGCAGACACCGATAAATGTTTACACTGCCGCGGACAATAATAATAATAATAATATAATAATAATAATAATATGTAATATAAATATAACACAATATATTATTATATACCTATAGGTGCATGGAAGACAATGGCTGCAACAACAGTTATTAAATTGCGTGTTTACACACACATACATAATATATTATAATATAATATATACGTGTATATTATTATTATACGTTCGTGCAGCAATACCTCCAGCGTATCTATATATAGTTTTCCTGTATAGTATATATTAGGTATATATAATAATATATTATAGGTACCTCCACTGCTGCTGAATTCAGTGAAGGCAGATTAAGCGACACGACTTTCTTCTCGTCGTCGGTCGATTAATCACGGTTCGACGAAAACAAAATAGTAGGTAATAACAATAATAAACGGACTAGACGCCGAAACGCGATTGCAAAAAAAAAAAAATTTTAAATCGCGTCCGCCGAGGGTGATTTCTACTGCGCTGCTCTGAGCTCTCGATAATAATAATAATAATAAAATAATGATATTCTGATGTACGTAACAACTATATTCCTACGATACATGCGTTATAATAATGTTAATATATGCACTTGCAGCTGCAGGTACCTAACCTACTCATATAGCAGTTAGGACGTTATATTTTGTGGTTATGAGCGCGACTGTTTAAAACTAATCATTTTGACTACCACCGCCGGGGCGATATTTTTTCATAATAACAGTGGGTATAGGTACACGAGGTACCTATAGTACCTATGCCATTTTATAATAATATAACTCGACCTGAACCTGCATGCTTCGGCCATGTAATAATCGCACCGTCGTCGTCGTCGTCGTCATCGACGCCGTTGTCTATTTAAGGCGTCCATTTCGCCTTGAATGTCTGCGTGTACACCTATTATAAACTAGATCGATTCAAACACCACACCACGTCAAACACATTTTACGTTCTAATATACGACGTTATCTTATATATATATATAATATATATATTTAGTACAGCGACGTTTCCGATGTCCGGTCACAGTAAATTTATGTCGTGCTCGACCTAGACCCCGCGCACAATTTTAAACCAAAACCGAGTCAATGTAGCAGGTATAGGTACGGTAATAATAATAGTATCCATCGACCTCGTACGTTTTTCGCGGATGATATATGCACATTTAAATATAGCGATACGAACGTGTGTAATAATTAATAACACATTCTATAGGTACATTACAGTATTTAGTTCTCCAAAATTGTCGACCACGATTTATCTAAAACGTCGATAGTGTTTATTATCGTTATATTAATAATATACCTACCGTACTATACCTTACATTAATAATAATTCCTATGTAATGTTTAGTGTACCTATATTATATAGTAGGTACCTACTCGATAAAACGTTTTACTTTCACACGTATTGTTGATGCGAAAACTTGATACGTGCACACTAGCACAAGTATTAATCCTTATATACTATTACTCAATACTACCAAGATGTAGTTTTATCTGATTGGGTGACACTCCTTTTAAAAAAAAAATTATTTGATAGGACTATCAACTCCAAACTGTTTTGACCGATGAAAAGTACCAGACGTCCAGACTCATTAGGTGTTTTAAAATATAATATATAACGTGAATTGTTAGATAGCTTGGGCTAACTCGGTGTACCCACCTGTTATATACACGAATACAAGCAGATATAGAGACAATGATTTTCCCATATAAATTGAATGACGGACGTATATAGTGATTGTCTCGACGATAATCGTTGAATAGAGAGATGTATACTGATAACCAGGTATATAACTTCCAGTTGATTCGATAATTTCTATTGACCATTCAGTCACCTGTGGTTATATAACATCGACTGTCTTGTTATTATTTCAATGGACTTTAATACATAAACGAAAAAAACCATGATAAAAGTAGTGCCAGAAGTACATGAAATCTGTGCCAATATACTGTGGTATAATACTTATATAAATTATAATAAACTAACAATATAGTATATATAGGACACGAGTCTTCTATACTATTTGTAGACACGGTTTATGTATGTAGAGTATACACATAACATCATATAATAAATAATAATATTTAGTTTGTTGGGGTCACTGAAAAACATTTGGTGCCGGTCAATTATTCATAATATTATGACCGCATTTTATCGAACGAATTCGTCTTCAACGATAATATTGTACACTTTGTCTGCAATACGAGTTGTTCACTTACATTATTTGTTTTGCTTTCAATCGATTTAGATAAAACAATGCATAAAATACACTACCGATCGGCGATCGGCCGTCAAAAAGTAATTACCTTGACCTGCAGGAGGTGATTGGGAATAATGTTGTTAGCTACGTCCTGCACGGGATACCCAACGACTATATGCTTGTCGGGGAACGTCGGCACGTTGTCGTTTATGTCCACGATGACCAATTGCACCAACGTGGTAGTCGGGTCGTAAACGATTTGGTCCACGTCGGACAAGTGCAGAGGTAGGTGGCCGGTGGATCATCCAACGGAGGACAATGGATCTTTAGCTTCAGGTACACGGACGGTTCTTCCATGTCTTCAAATGAGTATGCCTCCCGGTCGATGGGACTTTTCACGTGAACGGCACCCGTCGTCTTATCGATGGAGAAGAAGTCCGCTCCCACTGTGAGAAATAATGTCTTGTTACAAAGATAGATCATATATTATGTTATATTATTATAAATTAATTTATTACTACGCTGAGAAGATTTTTTTTGATACAAGTCGATTGGTGGTTTTAGTCAACTTTTGTGTCGAAAAAAAAATTGTAATGATTAATCATTTACTTTTTTTTTGATAATCTTATAAGGAATCTTGTATTACATTTTAAAATTTTAGATTTAAAAAAAAATATTTTTGTGAATTATTAACTCAAAATTATTTGATATTTTCGTGATTTTTCCATATTTTGACAATTTTTGAACTTTAAATGCTTATAAAAAAAAAACTGTGACTAAGAATTTTTAATATTTTCCAAATGTCATTAAACAATATAGTAGGAGCCTTGTATTTTTAACACTTTTCTTAAGTTTGGTTACACGTCTGTCTGTGATCAAATCTTGCGCGCTCGATTTGAGGCACTTTTTGAAGATGAAAAATTCTGAAAATTTGTATAGACCTTGGTCTTGGATGACAATACAATAATCCGTAAAAAAATTTTTTTTAACTAAAAAGTAGAAAATTAAAAATTAAAAAATTATTTTTTAAAAACACACTTTTCTAAAAAAACAAAAAAATAATGAAAAATTTAAAAGTGTGTGGCGCTCTTAAACTTGACATATTATACCACACACTTTTAAATTTTTCATTATTTTTTTGTTTTTTTAGAAAAGTGTGTTTTTAAAAAATAATTTTTTTTCAAGTATTTTTACTCAACAAATAAAGTTTTATTGACATTCTTAGAAAAAAAAAAACTAATAAAATTGGAAACTGAAAATGTCCCTAAACATCAAAATATTTTTAATATTTTATCGTGTATAGAAAATGCAAAAATAAACAACAACTTAAAATGTCATGTATCTACGGTCATTTGTTTTAAAGTTAGGTACACCAAAAACCAAAGTCGATTTTAAAAATTCCAATTTTTCCTAAATTTTTATTTTGTTTTTCACGGCACTTTTGAAAATTACTTTTTACCTCCTCAATGCACCAACAATATTCACTCTCCCATCGAAAAAGTTACTGAAGTTGAAAATCGAAGCATTATTTCTACAACTTATCACGTGTACATACAAAAAAAAAACACACACATCATTGTAAAATCAATACATTCATCGTTCCACTCAGAATCTAAAATAATAATCTATGCTAGTTTTTAGCATCAGGCACCTATAAATTTATTGTCAGAAGAGATTACAACACGGGGTTGCTTTTGGCTTATTTTATAACAACACCTACATTTTTAATTATGATATTATTGTTTATATTATAATGATATGATTCTAATATCTGGGATTTATTATTGAGTTATATATTTTATAAATGATTTATAAATTATAAGTATAATTGAATTACACTAATTATTATGTTATAATAACATATAACAGTAAGTTTAGGACTGTAAATTATGAAACAACGATTATTTCTATAACTATTTTTTTAATCGACCGTACACACGATTTGATTGTAGAAAAATGTATATTTGATATTTATAACAGTTAAGGATAAACATTAAACGATTTGTTTCCACAGTCGTAAATATCACTTATAGGCGATAGCCGACAAAATAATTTAACTTTAAACTGCATATTTTTATTTTCAGTTCAAAAAGTATAAACGCATACATAACATGATTTTTTTTTTATTGTTTTTAGAAATCTATAGGTGCAGGTTCATACTAATTATTTTAATTCCACTTATCAATAACTTGATGTATAATACATTTTCAATTCGTTAAGAAAAAAATTCTCTATAAAAAACTTTAATTATTTTTTTTAAAAAAAAAGAAAGAAAGAAATAATTAGAGTAAATCAATAGCAACATGAGAAACATTTTGGTAATGATGTGATATGACTATATGAGATATTGTAAATCGATAGTATATAATAATTACCCATCTAAAACATCAATTATACCAAACTGTTTTCATTAATCGTTAGAAGAAAATCAGTATGGGCTATACATAATATTATAATAATATATATTATATCTACCTTTATTGGTAGATGATTCATAGGTATATAATGAGTGATCCATTTAACGTAAGACACATAATTTAAGTCACTTAAGACAAGTTTTTGAAAATTTTTCTTTTAAATCATTTTAAGTCTTTATACATACTATCAACATTTTTGGAAGAAGATTATATATTTTATCATTATCAGTTTTTAAGTTACCTATTACTTTTTTGAATGACAACATACATTTTTTAATTTCATATTACTAAGAAGAATATTAATCAAATTTTTGTCTAGTATTTTCTTATAGTACCTAAGATATATAAGTACATATTTGAAGTCGAGATCAACATGCAAGTAGGAGATTAACATTTCGTGGGGTACCCCATATATCACTAAACTCCACTCATCATAACTTAAAATACTTGTAACTCATATACTGCTTGTCCAAAATTGATAGGTAATAATTCAAAATAGAAAAACAATATTTTTTAACGACTTAAAATTATGTAGAAAAAATATTTTTAAAAACTAATAGCTTTTGAAATAATGAGAGTCTTACGTTAAATGGATCACCTAGTATAGGTAATACGATGATAAAATACGTTTAAATACATTGACGTTTCATAGAAAAATGTGTTAACAACACACGTCGTAAATATAAAATATAATCATACTTAGGGCGGGAACTGTTATTTTAAAATAGGTTTGGGAAAATTCTTTCGACTGGCGTCATAACACGTAATAACGTTGAATAGAATTTCTCGAAAAAATGTTAACGACACAACTGCAATTAATGTATCTTAAAAGCTAAAACGCTTAGTAACTATATAGTGTTTACTGTTTAAAAGTCCGAACGTAGAACAAATGCCTTTGCAGGCGTGAAAAAGTAATATGGTACGTGTTGCTCGCTAGCTCTGAGTTGCTGGCTTTGACCATTCGGACGACGTTTTAGGTATCAAGACCAATTTCCAAACAGTACCTCGTAAAAACGCGTACGCGTGTGTTAAATTTGGCCATTTCTTGGAATCGATGAAATTACAAATTTTAAAAATCAACACAATATTATGCAGCTACTTAAAAATGTAGCTTTTTGACTAGTTTGACTTATAATTTGTCCAGTTTAATTTGGACAAGATGTGGAGGGGGTGGCTAGTATAAGTGATTGCACCCTCAAGTTAATTTTGGACATTTCTTCGAACGGATTAACTTACAAATTATTCTTATGTCCAACTTGCGATTACTTACAAATTGAGCTTTTCACCTATTACAATTAGCCCGGTTTAATTTGGACATGTCGGGGTGGGCCAACTTCGCACACGTTACATACGCGTCACCACGTCGGTCGTCGGTACACCTCTTTATGCCCACTGATTATAACAGTGCCACGAGCGACGTTCATCTTATTCGATATTCCGGCTCGGGGATAATTAAAACGTTTGTTGCCAAACCACGCGTATTAATGTTGTATGCACACACACACACACACACACACACACACACACACACACACACACTCGTATACATGAAATAAAAATGTGTTACGCAAATCTGAGAGAGAGAAAAGACATTATCATATTACAGTGGTAGTATTTTTTATGCTGTATACCTATATATAATAATATGACGTGTGTACGGAGTGCACTGCACATTTACGTCGGAACTCGTTTGTTCGGACAACTACGCAGCTATATAAACAGACGGTGTATAGTTTTGCGGTCGGTATGAGAAAACGCGGTCGGGATTTAATGAACTGTACGTCATAATATAAAATATTATAATAACAGTACAATCAATGCAATACTATGTAATACTATGTAATAGTATTGTTTTTATTATTATCCAGAATACGTTACGGTGGTGTACGGACGTACGGTATACCTCATTACCTCTACCCAGTCATCATATGGTACACTATTAACTGTCGAAAATCAAAACCGTGTATAATACGTATAATATAATATTCACAAACGACGGTGGCTGCAGTGGCCAATGTCGTTTCTGACGTTCGTTCTGGGTTCTTTAATTTCATCCGAACGCCAAACGAAATCCAATTGTTTGTAGATAAACGCTTGGAACTCTGTGTAAACGGCCAACACGATAAAGACTCCGACCACATATATCAAGTTCATAAGTTGAACTTCCCGTTGACGGCGGGCCCTTCCGTGAACCTGCTCTTGGATTTCTATTGTCACGTCATAAAGCCAACTTTAAAGAATAGGTACAAGAATTTAAGTGATTCATTTGTTTAATCTAAATCAGATAGGTATAATTTGTCTCTGTGAATCAAATTATTAGCTAAAATAGTTCTTATTTTAGGTTATACGATCAAACAATACATTCGTTCCTCCTTATTACGATACTACAGGTTTAGTAGGAACGTTAGTGTGATTAAAATTAAACTTCTTTTTTTTTTTCAATAACTCAACCATAATTGACTTTAGTTGAAATTTTTTTTATTACTTTCAGGAAATTTTGTTGTTTTGGGCAGAAACAAAGAAAAATATAAGTACTGTAACGGTGCACACAAGTACTGACAGTCGTTGATAGTAAAATGAGGTAATTCGTCGTAGAAAATAACAATGATAAATAATATACCGACAACTTACTACTCGTTCTCCTTTGGAAATGCAACCTAAGGGTGTTGTGACCTGTTCCTTGACTAACCTCTTAATACAATTCAATCGTCGGAGTGACGCCAGCAGGGTTAGCACGATAAAGCCCAGCCCGAAAGAACCCGGGCTGCTTTTCTGGGTTAAACCCACTTGATATTTTAAAAAATCCATACAAAAACCCGGGCTTCTTTTCTGGGTTAAACCCACTCATTATTTTGAAGAAAACCCATAAAAACATTTCTGGATAAAATAGAAATTCACTCTTATTTTTTTTTTAATTTGTCTTAATTTTCAGAAAAATTTACCTTACTTATGGGTATTATTTATTTTTCCAATTAAGTAATAAACTACGGGGTGCCACCATTTTGTGACTTCCCCTCCCGTCAATCAAA